CAAGGTGATTCGAGAGTTTGCATAGTGTGTTCAAGGTGCAGCCAATCGATCTTGCCCAACCCGGGCTCTCCCCATCTAGTGTAGGCCATGTGGGGCCGCCCCTTTCCTCTAACTATCGCTGCGGTAACTTTAAGTGCGAAGGTGGGGGGGAAAAGGGCTTTTTAAAAAAAAGGAAAGAAACCTGTCTTTCAAGATGGTGGTCCACTAGTCACGTGCTCCGAATCTGGTACGTGATTGGCTCTTGTCCCTTTCGGGCGGGTCTATAGGTGGGGGCGGGGCCGCCGCGTTCTCCCAGCCGGCTACTGTTTGTTGGAGCCTCCCGGCGCGCCCCCGTGAGCCCCCGCCCACCCGGCGCGCGACCCCGCCGCTCCAAATGTTGTGAATCAAATGTGAGGTTTGTTACATTCCGCTGCCGCGGCGGACAGTTCTTAAAGGGCCAGCTGCTGGCAGCCGGGTAAACCCAGCCGCGTCCTCCACCGCCTCCCCCTCTCGTTTCTTGAGAGCTTGGGCCGAGAGAGGCGGACCGCGCCTGGGCCTCGTGAAGCTGACGCGGTCGGGAGGACAACAAAGAAAGAGGGATCCGGGAAGAGCTGGGCTGCCCCCGGACTGGGGGGTGGGGAGGAGAGCACATTGTTCCACAGAGCGGAGGCTCTTTAAGGGTCTAGGCAGTCCGCCCCGCTGCCCAGCTTGGCTGACCTAGAACGGGAACAAAGAAGTCAACGTGTGGCCGGGCGGCCGAAGGTGAGTCGGAACCAGGGCCCCTAACTCCCGATTCCTACATCCCTGGGACTGGGGTCCGTGATCTAGCTGGCTTCGTAGGGGTTAATCACGGGCAGCTCGCGTTGTGGGTGGCGAGACCCCTGGGACATGGGACCCCTAGCGCCCCTCAAGGCCGGGCTGAATCTCCCCCTATCTGGAGGCAGAGCGCTGCGGTTGGAGGGGAAGGAGCCGCCCCCTCCCCCTGCTGCCGCCACTTCCTTTGTTGTTGCTTTTGTCTCACGCCGAGCACATGGTCCGGGATCCTCAGCTCTTAAAGTCACAGTGCTCTGGCCCAGGCGCCTCAGTCTCGTCCCTTGCCCCACTGTGCCCCTTTTAGCACGGTACTAAGGAGTTCAGGAGGTGGGGGAGGCACGTCTCAGCTATGGCGTCCGCACCTCGGCCCTCTGGCCCCATCCGTGGGGGCTGGGTGGACTGGGGAAGCTCTTTGGAGCCCCACAACCTACGCCTGGTCTGCGTTGGGAGGGGCCTAGCCCACTGGGACACTGGTTTCCTCCCACACTGTGACCACCTGGTTTCTTCGCTTTCAGTCTCTTCTGGTTTTATTTGAGTACTCTGGGGAGAAGAGATTTCCACCCCCATTTTACAGTTGTAAAAACTGAGGCCCACAGAAGCAAGGCATTTCCTTGCTCAAGGTCACCCTGGAAAACAGGATTGACCAAGGACTCCTTGCTCCAGAGCCTAGTGTCTGCCTCCAGGCATCACACATTAGGTAACTCAACTTGTCCACCGGCAAAACTAGACTGAACCTTCCTCCCTGGCCCTGGGGGGAAGAACTCATCTTATCAGAGTCTATACACGCTCTCAGGGTCTGGTTTTAGTCCTCTGCAAATATGGGTACCTGTTCCTGCAAACAGTCCCCAAGCTCATACATCGTGAGTAAGGTGTTCCCTAAACCAGGGTGGGGATAGCTACTTGGAGCAGAAGTGAGAGTTGGCAGCCTGAGGTGGGTGAAGGGCTGGGGGATATAGATAGATGCAAGGTGCAGTGACTTCCTCCAGCCCAATTTGGACTTAGTGCTAAGAGCCTGCAAGGACACCTTTGCATAAATCTCTTTGGTAGCATAGCCTAGATGAGTTTGGGCTGACTACTACCCTTGCTGCTTGACCTTGAGCAAGTTGCTAGCTCCTGCCTGGGTCCCACTTGTTCTTTCCACTGTGGGACTTACCATGAGTACTGAAGGAGAGGGCTCTCTTCCTAAGGAAGTTCTTAATTTGGGCCACCAATGCCATTGAGAGTTGTAGGTTGGTGAAGTCTGGGCCTTGCCTAGCTCTGACCCTCTGGCTTTGTGGCCTAGAGCGAATTACTTCCTTTTTCTGTACCTTAGTTTGCTCAGCTGTAAAGTGGGTGTGTCCCCTCCCTTCAGTGCCACCTCTGTTCCTGGTAGGGTTTGCAGCACTTGGGACCCTCCCCCTCCATGCCTAGGTATTGCTGTAGAACAGCATGTATCTTGACTGCCTGCTGCACAGCTTGTCATTTGGGCCACTTGGGGGCTAGGGGCCAGCATATCTTATTTTCTAATGATGATCACTCACCCAAACTGAGTTTGAACATTACAAATCACTACAATCGTTGCAAGGAGCCCCAGTGGCACAGTGGGTTAAGCATTGGTCTGCTAACTGCAAGGTTAGTTCAAATCCACCACCAGCTCCATGGGAAGATCAATGAGGATTTCTGCACCTCTGAAGAGTTACAGTCTCAGAAGCCCTATGGAGCAGTTCTACTCTGCCCTACAGGGCTGCTATAAGTTGGAACCAACTCAACAGCAGTGGCTGCTTCTAGCAGTCCTAATTGCTGCTCTGGGAGATGACTGTTGGGTTCTTCCCATGTGATAGATGAAGAAGCTGAGGCTCACAGAGGGGAAGTGATGTGCCCAAGGTCTCTCTGTTTTTACTGTTAGGTGCCATGGAGTCAGTACCAACTCATGAAGACCTTCTGCACAACAGAGGAGTCCTGGTGTGGCACTGTGTGTTAACGCGCTGGACTGCAGAGTCAGTTTGAACTGCAAGGTTGGCTGTTCAAACTTCCCCTGCCACTCCTCAGAAACCCTATACAGGGGTCGCTATGGGTTGGAACTAACTCAACGTCACTTAACAACAGCAGCACACAACAGAACGAAATGCTGCCTGACCCTACACCAATCCCACAATCATTGCTACACTTGAGTTCCCATCACTGCTGCTACTGTACCAAGTCATCTAATTGGGAGTCTTTAGCCGAGCCACAAGTAATGTGTGAGAACAGGATGGTTGGCATTGGAAAGGGGCTGGCCACAGAGGAGATTTCTACAGCCTGGGGCCTCTGAGATCTCCGTACACCTGAACCAGCCATCAGCAACACTTGGCTCTAGAGGAGCCATAGAGGCCCCAGTCAGAGACTACCTGGATCACAGGCCAGTTCATTCACATCCTCTGACCCTATAGCCTCCTTCCAAGGGCTGCTATGAGAACTTGTGAAGATGGAGAGGGTAAAGCACTGCTCATGGGGAAACTATGTGGTTACCTTTATTAGTACCCTTCTTTGACAGAATGGGGGGACTTTTGGATCTTGAGGTTCAGCTAGAGCACAGGGTCCCAAACCTACGCATGCTAGACCAGACATTAGTTACACATCTAGAGGCTCTTGTTCCCTACTCCTGCAAAGCTGTTGATTCTGAAGGTCTGGGCTGGTACCTAGGAATCTGATTTTACTTTACTGTTTGTGAGTTCCCTTTAATGTTCATTGGATTTTGTTTGCTTGGCTGGGTACCGGTTTGCATGTGTATGGGTGTATGTACTTGGTCCATGCCAGGGGTCACAAATGTAAGGAAGATGGGCAGTGGGTGGATAGGTGGGCAGTGGGTGGATAGGTAGGCAATGGGCTGTTGTGGTCTAGTTGCCAGGAAAGAACACTCATACCCCAAGTAAAGCTACAGCTAAGGGGACTGAGCCGAAATGAGGACTCAGTAGGGCCACATATTCCGCTTTTCCCCCCATGAAAAGTGCCAGACTTTTATGTCATTTAGCAAGTGTCGATTGTTGGCACTCTTAATTGTCATTATATTTAAGGCCTGGGCCCTGCTACATAGCCGTCCGGGCCCAAACCCCGCAAAGTGGAGGTGAGGAGCTCTCCCACAGGCTCATCCGAGAGTTGGGACTCCTGCTTGTTGCCATCCACCATGGAGGAGATGGAAGGGGAATATGGGGCCTCCGTGTGACAGCAGCGGCATGAACACAAAGGGCTGCTCCTGTTTGAGTCACCCTTCAACTTTGTGCGGGGCATGACAGCTTCCAGAGCTGTCCTCTGTCAGAGCCTCATCCCAACCTCAGTAACCTTCAGCAGTCTAAGAGTGAGCCAGTTTCTCCACAAACACACCCTCCCTCACTCCAACCCAGGGGAAGAGACCCTGCCTCCCACCCCCATTCAGCATTCTTTTATTTTTCCTCCATCTCCTATTTGGAGGAGGGGGAACTGTGTTGCAGCCCCCAGAGCAAGGCTTGACTGCATGCTAGCCCCAACAATCCACCAATGCCAGCCTCTTTGGTCACCCCACCTTAAAGCCCTTAGGTGGCTTCCCACTGGCAACAGAATGTGGGAAAGGCCTTGTCATCAGTTCCTCTCCCAGCGTTGATATTTCCTGTGGGACCCTGGACAAGTCTCTTCTTTCTGAGGTTCCGTTTTCTCCTCTGTAGAATGGAACCTTCCTTCTCCGAGGGATGATCAGTCATAGTTGGACAGGTGCTCTGAGATCAGTTAAAGAAAGAACATGCTCCTGCTTTGGGGAGGGAACCTCTGAGGGCAGGAACCAAGTGAATGGGTACAGGTGTGAATTCCCTTTTAAGTCAGCCAGAAGGAGGAAGGCAAGGGTTCCTGGAACCTCCTCTCTCCTGGCACTCATTCCTACCAGGACAGGAAGCCCCGAGACCCCACCAGAAGGAGGCTCCCTGGAGCCTTCTAGCTGCCCAGCTCTCTGAACTCAACACAGCTGAAGTCCGGGCTCTCTACTGCCCTGCCGAGTAAGCCCACCCATTAGTGTGTGTACACTAAGTCACCCCAGTGTCCCAAAGGGACCAGGCCCAAGTCTGTGGCGACCAAGAGGACCTGGGAGCATTGTGGCCCCTGGAATCACAGTGCAGATATTTGAGTCATTCCTGACTCCTGATAGCACCAACAACTGAGCCTTAGTTTCTTCATCTGCTTGCCTCCTAGGGGTGTGAGCCCCAGTCCAGTCCCTCCACCCCCTGATGCGACCATGGGCGGTGGCAGTGACTAGGTGGCCCACCTCGGCACCTGTGGGTCAGCGGAGATTCTTGGCAGGGCCCAGCAGTGCTCCAGGCCAACTCCGGCTCAGGTAGGAAGGAGCCCCTGGGGCTGGGGCTTCTAGCTTGGGTAGGGTGGTGGAAGACAGGGAGGAACTCGCTCCCTGTCTGGTGGGGTGGGACCCAGCTACTTTGCTCTCTCTGTAAATGTGCAGCCCCCCTCAGACCAATTGGGGCCTCCTTTCTGTGGTACAGCCCCGGCCGTGAGGGCCCCCTGGCCAGCCCGCCTACCCAGGATGAGCGCTTACCCTCCCAGCAGCCTCTGCCCCAACCACCTCACCTCCCTGTAGAGGAGCACCGAGCTTCGGCTCCTGCCGGCGGGAGCCCCCGAATGCTGCACCCGGCCACCCAGCAGAGCCCATTCATGGTTGATCTCCACGACCAGGTAGGCAGGGTACACCCTGACACCCCTTCTCCCAACCCTCAGCAAGCTGGTCTAGAAGCAAAGGTGGCAAAGCCCCGATTTCATTCACCCTGCTTACCATACTGCGTGCTTGAGGCATTGTTAGCTCCATTTCACAGGTAGGTTAATGAAAGCCCAGAGGGCCTGGAGCAGGGGGTAGACAGGTCAGCATGTAGGTAGGCCCCCAGAGGAGAAAGGAAAGGGAGCTGGGCTGGCAGGTTTCTCTCCCTTCTAGGGAACCTGTGTGACCAGACCTCCCTCCAATTCCCTGGGCCTCTCTACCCACAGGTGCACCAGGGACCTGTCCCTCTGTCCTACACAGTTACCACTGTGACCACCCAAGGCTTCCCCTTGCCTGCGGGCCAGCACATTCCTGGCTGTAGTGCCCAGCAGCTCCCAGCATGCTCCGTGATGTTCAGCGGACAGCACTACCCCCTCTGCTGCCTCCCACCCCCAGTGAGTACACTGCCCCCTCTCCTCTCCCCAGGAGAGTGTGCCTTCACTTGGGAACATAGCCCTGGACCCCAGCCCCTTGAGAGTAAAGCGTGTCCTACACAGGGGGTGTGGAGAGGATGGCATGCAGATGGCATGGCCCCTGGCCTGAGCCCCACCCTCTCCCACAGCTGATCCAGGCATGCACCATGCAGCAGCTGCCAGTGCCCTACCAGGCCTACCCCCACCTCATTTCCAGCGACCACTACATCCTGCACCCGCCGCCACCGGCCCCGCCTCCCCAGCACCCTCACATGGCGCCCCTAGGGCAGTTCGTGTCGCTGCAGACCCAGCACCCGAGAATGGTGAGTCGATCTGGTGCTGAAACTAGGTCAGGGGTTGGGTGGGATTTCCACTGGCCAGTCTTGACCCAGTGCAACTCCTCCCTCAGCCCTTGCAGCGGCTTGACAGCGATGTGGACCTGCGGGGGGACCAACACCCCTTGGGGAGCTTCACCTATTCCACCTCAGCCCCCGGTCCTACCCTCTCTCCATCCATACCCCTGCACTACCTGCCCCATGAGCCGCTGCCTCAGGAGCTGCCCTTTGGCATGGTAAGTGCTGCGCCCCCACCCCCAGGAAGCTAGGTGGGCCTAGGGGCAGGCCACTGGGTTGACCTGCCCCTGGCTCCCCTTTCACAGCCGTATTCCCACATGATGCCTCGGAGACTGAACACCCAGAGATACCGTCTGCAACAGCCGCTGCCACCGCCACCCCCACCCCCACCCCCTCCACCTTATTACCCCAGTTTCCTGCCCTACTTCCTGTAAGTACCAGCAGTTCTGCCCCGGGGCTGAGCGATGCTTTGTTCTCCTGGGGCCTCTGGAGCTGGACCCAGACAGATACCAAGGGTTCACTGTGTGGACCAGCCCAAGCTCCAGGCTCCGTGTCCCCTGCCCCCAACTTTGGTTTTAAACTCCCATGCCTGTCTCCCTATAGTTCGATGCTGCCAATGTCCCCCACCACAATGGGGCCTACCATCAGCCTGGATCTGGATGTGGATGATGTAGAGATGGAGAACTACGAGGTCTGTGGGGCCTGGCCTGTGTTGTGTGGTGGGTGGGGGTCCTGCCCAGGAGCTACTGACTCTGCCTCTCCTCCACACAGGCCCTCCTCAACCTGGCAGAGCGGCTGGGCGATGCCAAACCCCGAGGCCTCACCAAAGCTGATATTGAGCGGCTCCCGTCCTACCGATTCAACCCTGACAGCCATCAGTCAGAGCAGACTCTGTGAGTCTTCCCACCCCCTGGGCGCTGGAAGGGCAAGGGGTACCCTGGGGTGGGCTTCAGGTGAAACCTGGATGGATGGCTCTGGGCCTCCCTCTAGGTGTGTCGTCTGCTTCAGCGACTTCGAAGTTAGGCAGCTCCTCCGGGTTCTGCCCTGCAACCATGAATTCCACACCAAGTGCGTCGATAAGTGGTTGAAGGTAATACGACGGGAGCCAGCTCCCCGGGGGCTCCCGAGTGGTGAGGGAAGAGGGTGGGCTTTAAAGAGCTCCCTCGTCATTTTTTTTTTTATTTTGTCCAAAAGCTCGGGCTCCATTCAGGGCTCCCAGGTCCCCCAGAGTTAGGGGTGTACAACCAGGGAGCGAGCAGGGACAATGTGGAGGTTTGGCTAAGGGCAGGTGAATATGGATCCTGATGTGTGTCTGACCGCTCCCCTCCACCCCCAACCCCCAGGCCAACCGGACGTGCCCCATATGCCGGGCCGATGCCTCCGAGGTACCCAGGGAGGCCGAGTGAGGCCCCAAAGCTGTCCAGGAGAGCCCTGCCCAAAGCTCTGGAAACTCGGGGTGCAGGACCCCAGGAGGATGGGAGGGAGTTCCCAAGCCTGCCCTGCCATCCCCGCCTGCCTCTCCAGAGCTGGTGCCAGGGTCAGCCCCGCGAGACGCCCCTGCAATAAGCCCCCTGCATTTGCCAAGCTCCAAAGACCCCTTTCCCAGTCTGCCTGCCTGTCTGCTCGCCACGGAGCTGCCCGAGTGCCCGCACTCACTCGGCTTCCCTCCTGTTTGCTCTCGGGCCTGTCTCTTCTTCCTCGTTGGCACTGGGAACCAGGGGTCCCTTTCCCGAGTGTGACTGATGGAGATGGTGGGCCCAGGATGGGCACAGGGGCCCCTTCTTGGGTCACTTGGTCTCTTGCACTGAAATGGTGTGCTCGGGCAGATGGGATGAGGCCATCTTCCAAGCCCCAGGCTGGGTCTTCCCTCCCACCTTGATCTCAGATAGACTCAGAAGCCATTGAGCCCTGGCTTGTGTACAGGGTGAGTCTGGCTCTGAGGGGACCCTCACCTCGGGCACAACATTCCAGCCCCTACCCCTAGGCTGGAGGTCTCAGAGCCCACCTGCCCAGCAGACAGGCCAGGGCCACACCAGAGAGTGATCCCTATCCTCCTTGTGGCTGCCCCCTGCACCAGTGTCCAGGCCTGACTCCTGCCCCATCTCCTTCTCTTGTCTTTTTGCATGAATGTGAGGAGCAGCCATTTGTGTTTATTCATTTGGCCCAAAATTGTGTGTAGGATCTGGGGGTATGGATTTTTAAACATTTTTTTCTTTTGGTTTAATGGGGGGTATAGGAACCACCCGGGGCAGGGATGCCCACTGGAGCCGCCCGGCCTGCGTGCATGTGAGCGGCTGGGGCTGGGCCGGGCGGGCGGGGGTCTGTGCTCAGCTGATAACTGCCATGCACTGTACTGCACACGTCCCCAGAGCCGACTGGGACAGTTCGCTTTTCAGGGCATTTCCCTCCAGCCAGGGCCCGCCTCCCACCTGCCTGGGTGAGTCTCCTCCAGGGGCAACCCTGGAGGACAGGGACCAAGGAGGGCGTGGCCCCACCCCTCCGGAGGGCCCTTTCCAGCCTGGGCTCTGCCCTTCAGGAGGGGGGCCCCCTGTTAGGTTCTGGCTGAGCTCCCCTACTCCCTGGTCCCTGATTCTCCCCAAACCCCAGCTGGGGTTGCTGCCCCCGAACGAACTGCGTGTGGGGCCGGCACATCCTAGCAGGCAGCCCCTGGCGCCTGCTGCCTCAGGGATGCTCCAACCACCCTCGTTCTCCCTGCAGCTGCCCTGGCCTTCCCCCTCCCCCCCAGCCTGCCAGGGGGCCCCATCAGCCCGGCCCCACCCCTGAGGAGAACCCAAAGTCTTACTGTATATAACTCCAGGTGACGTTTCTATATTTATAGCAGTGTTGAAAACCCACGTGTTTTACACAGAGAACCACCCGCTCCAAACCCCCCATCCTTCCCTACCCCAACAAAAGGTTTTCAGAAAACCCTTACAGTTCCTGGGGCAGGCGGAAACGGGCTCATGCGTGTGTGTGGTGGCTGCAGCCATGATGCCAACAAGCAGCTACTGGGGGGAAGCATTTAAAAAAAAAAATCATTCAAAAAACAAGATTTATAAAACAATTATTTAGAATGTTTGTGATTTGCCGACCTTGCTATAGATGCCACGTTACCAATGATTTCCTGTGGTGGGGGCTTGTCATTGTTTACTCTGATTTACCACCTTCTGGCCTAGGTATGACCGTGGGCACCATCCCCCAGCCCTGGCTGGGACCAGCGCCTGAGTTCTGTGTTAGAAAGGTTTTATCTATATATATATATACATATATATATATCATTACGTGTGTGTATGTATGTATATATATATATAAATGTAATTTGGGGGGCCCTGTTCCTTGCACATTTTACAGTTACCTCATTTTTCCCATGTATGTATTTGAGAAAATGCTAATATATAGAGAAAAAAAATGGTTCTTAAAGCTTAAATGTGTGGTTTTTTCCATTCCATTGGATTCACATTGGTTTGTAGCATTTAACATAACTAGTATGTTGTATTATATATATGTGTATACTGATTGAAATTTTTAACAGATTTGTACTTTTTTTAAAATGAAAGTTGCTAGTTCTGCTTGACCAAGTAGTGCAATCATTATTTTTTTTAATATTGTTGCTGATTTCAGAGGGATATTCACTAATAAATGTATGATGTATACCGAGTACTGTCCACACTGTCTTTGGCACTTGTTCTTTTGGCAAGACGTTCAGGTGGGAGGAAAGGATTGGCCTCAGTTGTGGAAGTTTGGGGGAGTCAGTGCCCCTTACTCATGAGGGATGTGTTAGTTCAATGGTCACTTTTTCCCACAGGAATGAGGTGGGATTCTGTTCCTACCTTCCTTGAGGAAGACTCAGACAGTTGACCTAGTACATGCCTGTCCATTGCTATGGCGTGGAACATGTTTCACAGAGCTTCCAGACTAGGAAGCAAGGCCTGGTGATCAACTTGAAAATCTCATAAGGTCACAACAGTCCATTTACAGCCTGTCATGAGGGGAGTTCAGAACCAGGCATTTTGTTGTACATGGCGGGATCACTATGAGTTGAGGGTTGACTTAAAGCCAACATCAAGAACAACTGTTGGCAAGTGATAGGATCTCATCTTAACTAGTTTGAAATCACTGATCTGCAAATTGGCTTCAAGTGTGAGTGGATTAGGGGACTAAGGTGTGCTGTTAGGAACCTTTTTGTTCTTAAGCAGCTGTCTGTGTGGTAGCCCTTGGTAGTACGGAAGAACAGAATCCCACTTAGTTATCTCTAGCATCATCTCCAAGGGAACACCATTCCCTGCCCCCCACAGGAATTCCAACAGAACTTCTGGGATTGAGTCTTGACAGAGCAACTTGCTCACCCCTGAATCACTCCCATAGAGGGACACATGACCAGATTGGCTAGGTCTCCATTACATGCCCACTCACACTGCACAGCATGCAGCCCACATCCCAGAGTGGGGATGAAGAGCCCAAGAACCACCAACAGGGCGAGGCTGGTGATCTTGCATTCCTCATACTCTAATGAGGGTGTTGGTGTTGCAAGAACACCAGCTGGTTTGTTAGCGCATCAGAAAGCAACATGGTCTGGAGCAGGAACAGAGACCTGGAACTTTGTGTTTGTGGTGCCACTACTTTCTCGTCAAGGCACTTCTCAGTTGGCATTTGGATCTTCTGTAAATTAGGGGACAGGGTTGGTCAAGTGGTTCCCTAAAGTGTGTTTCACTGAAGGTCCTACAGGAGCCTAAAAAGCTCTGGTAGCGTAGTGGTTACAAATCAGGCTGTGAACCTCAGTCAGCAGTTCAAAACCACCAGCTGTTCCGCAGGAGAAAGATGAGGCTTTCTGCTTCCGTAAAGATTTACAGCCTCGGAAACCCTGTACAGGGTCGTTATGAGTCGGAACCGACTCCACAGCACATAACAACACAGGAGCCTAATGTGTTCAGTGTGTCTCTGTGGTCAAGATCGACAGCCCACATTGTAGCCAGGGGTTGACATTGCAGGGCTTCTAGTTTTGTCTATGCTGATAAGTATTATAAGTCTCCATAGAATGCTTACATTTGGCTTGTGTGGGCACGTATGAGTTCCAGTTCCGTTCCCTGGGGCATAAGGGGAGCTAGAGCAGTGGTAGAAACTAAATTCCTGGGGCCTTAGAAATCTGAGGAAAATGTAAGGTATGTAGCCACCAAGTTCTTTCTAGTATTTCAAAATAATAACGTATGGGAAAGAAAAATCACATGAATGTATCAACACCAAAAAGCATCAGACAAAATTCAACACATTATACAAACTGTCAGCAAGGAGAGCTTCTTTAATTATGATAAAGAGCATCTATAAGAAACCTACTGTTAACATCATACTTAATGATAAAGACTGGATGCTTTCTCCTAAAATCAGGACAAGGCAAGGACATCTACTCAACATCATACTGGAAGACCTAGCCAACACAATAAGGCATGAAACGAAAATACAAGGCACATGGAAACCAAAAACACATTTGCAATCACTCACAAAGAAATAGGTATGAATCTAACAAAATACATACAGGACTTAAATGCTTCAGACTACAAAGTGCTGAAATCAAAGACGTAAGTGAAGAAACACTGTATGTTCTCAGATTGGAAGACTCAACATAATGTCACTTCTCAAATTGATTAGTAAATTTAATTCAATCTCTATCAAAATCCCAGCAAAGTTTTTTGTAGATACAGATGAGCTTATCCTAAAATTTATTTGGAGAGGCAAGGGAATTAGACTAAAATCTGAAAAGAGTAAAAAGAATCACTATCTGATTTTTTTTTAATGTTTTATTGTGAATTATGTGATAGTTTACATGAGAAAACATTAGCTTCACATTCATCCTATCATATATAGTTTCATTGCCATGGTTACAATCCCCTCCATGCATCATCAACCAACCAAAGGGTATACCCTACAAGCCTGCCTTCTGGTCGTCCGCAAACAGCCCCTCTCCCTCTCTGGGTCTAGAGGCCCCAGATGCTCCATCTCTCCATGTCATCGTCTCTGCCTCCATCTCTGGTATCACTGCTTCTCTGAGTAGGGTCCGGCACTCCACTCCTGAACTGCAAAGATAACCACTCCCCTCCTTTTGCTACAAAATGTCTACCTTTACATTCCCAACCTTCACAGTCAGTCCTGATAACAATTCACTATTGTATCACAAGAGACCTATCCGCATTTCCTTTCATCAGCATCGCCTAGACAGATTGGATACTACTCAGTGGAGATTCTACCTTCCTCCATGCCCTCTGGATCTAGGTTCCCTCTTGAAAGCTTGTAAGCCAGTCACTTTTTGCCTTTGTAGCTCCCCCCCACCACCACCACCACCATTTTGGGTAGCCAATGTCAAAGTTGCCCATCTCTGTCTACTCTGTCTGGAGGGGGTGGGAATGATCCTTGC